CAATTTATTTTCTATCACCTCACATCCAATATTCAAGTTGGGAATATTGCAATGGAAAGTCAGGATGTTGGTTTTCTTAATATTTAGAGAAAGGAGGTTTGATTCACACCAATCTTTGATAATCTTTATATCCTGCATTATATTTGATTCTAATATAGAGCTATTCTCTTCTTGCCAAAGGATGGTTGTGTCATCAGCAAATAATGTGATTGTACCGTTTATATTTAGAGAAGCCATATCGTTCACGTAGAGAAGGAAAAGGATTGGTCCAAGGACTGAGCCTTGTGGCACTCCGTGCTTTATGTTTGAGGCCTTTGAGACGCTGCTAGTTTTAACCGATGTTCTACCTATGTTCTATGTTGCACTTTTATATTGAACATTAGGTACAAAATAGATTATATCATTTCACATCTCAGGGATCATCAATTTTCTTTTGATGTCTGCACATCAGCCGCGTACTTTTCCTAGGATGGCAATGAGGAAATAGATATTTCAGGAAAGTATCTGCATTTTTCAGTTTGTCGAAATTATTAAATCATTCTGCAAACCAACCCAGAATAATCTCAGGAGATGTCCATAGGTCAAAGTCGAGAAACTAAGTTTGACTATATGTGAAATACTCGAGGTCATTTCTAGAACAATTGATGAGGGTAGGTATTAAATTATATTGTAGGTAAAACAAAAAGGGTGTTCAAGGTGTGAATATCCAACTCTGAGAATGGATATATAGACTAAATATACAGGATGTCCCGAAAGCGGCTTCTACGACCAAAAATAGGAAGAAAAGTTTCAATAAACATGAGTCGATAAAGCTAATACGGTCTCCTGGGAGGGCACTCCTGAATGATGATGACATTTCTTAAATATTTTCGAAACGCCAGGTGATAACCATGTCCGAAATGTCATTCAGTACATTAAATATTGCTCAAACTTTTTTATATGCATATTTTTCGAAAATTAAAATCGAGTGAACTCGATTTAAAAATATTGTTACACTCACATCTAATGCATACAGTTGCCAATTTTCAAATCATATCGGTTATAAAAAAATCAACTATTTCATTTTCACCAAACAATTTTATAAAAACGAGTGAAATAGGAGAATGGAAAAAACTACTTCAATTGTTGTGCTCTTCTTCCTTATCCACTAAGATTGATTGCATTGTTATGCATAATAAATGAGATTTTGAATCGATTTTTTTCGAAATTGATACGTCTATTCGATACGAAACAGGAGTACCTTTCTTTGAAAAGAGGTGTGGATTTTCATAATCTGAGATTATCGAAAACTATATGCTTACAGAAAAGTTCGAGCAATACTCAATGTAGTCTCACCATGTATTATACACTAATGAATGAAATTTCGAAATGTTTTTATTTTCACTGTATTGTGCATTAAAAATTCAGTTCTTGGAGCGAATCACATTATATTATCACATGACGTTTCGGAAATATTCATCAAGAAACATCATCTTCAGGATTCCCCTTTCAGGGAGGCGTAAATCACTTAGCAGACATTTATCGACTCATGATCATTCAAACTTTTCCTCCTATTTTTTGTCGTAGAAGTCGCTGGTGAAATTTGGCAGGGTAATTTCGGGACACCCTGTATATGCACTTGTAGTGACAAGCAAGCAGAATAAGCTCGCACGATCGACAGCCCTCTATAATTACTATTTCTAAATCCCTCCTTAATTTCACTCCATCCTTTATATCTGCTTAGTTCACGAATCTATGGTTCATGAATATCTAAGCGGAAGTGTACTAAGGCTGAAACTGAAATCGCTACACAATTTCAATACATACAAGATAATGCGATGTTACAGGAAGATTCACCAGATCAGATTTTTCAAATAATCGAACAAGAATACATTTCCCAAAAGAAGGAAACTCAAAGTTATTACCACCATAGTTCATCAAATGAACAAAACTGGTAGATAACGAGAGAAAAACAACTACTTTCCTGGCTACATGCCACGCAAAACATTGGATTACATCCTCCCAAAACCCTTGCAATAATTTATTTAGACGAATAAAATCACTAGTGTTTCCTTCCTAAACGCCGAGCAGGGCTGTCCCAGATAGCATTCTTGACCGCTATAAGGTGCGAACCTGACCCAAAGTAACCGCAATTCAGCATTTAAATCCTATGAGGCGTTCAACGTCCGCGAAATGAAAGCGAATGCCAAACGCCACCTGGTAAGGAAAGGAAGACTCCAAAACAATATCCCATTTAAGGTGAAATGGGAGTGGCTGGTTGCCCAACTGGCGTATTTTCAACTAGGAAAAAGCCAAATACCCAAAAGTGGAATGCATAGGTCATAAAAGTTCATAAAATTAACGAAAATTGTAGTTTATGAGAGAAAAACAACTATTTAAAAAATATGATCAAATGCGAATTGAAAATCACCCGTTCAACTTTTCCATTAACCGTAGAACAGCGACGGCAACTTGGATATTCTAAATTCTGACAGTATGCCTATAATCTGAAACTCTAGAGTGTCACCTAAATTGCAAATTCTCCCAACTTATGGAAAATTTGCATTCATCTCCTACGCATGAGATTAGAATATACTAAAATAATATTAATTCGAATTTAGCGCTAAAAGTTTTTTCGAGTACTTAGTACTTAGAACTCAATTACTTGTCATCCTGAACACACAGTGTTTCTCCATAATTCCTTCTTCCATCTATCAAGTACGATCCTCATGATTTATTTCTCAGTTTTCCTTCGTGAAGAGAAAAGTATAATACTTATCTTCAATATACAATATACATACACAGTGTCCCACTTCAAGAGACGATCATTGTTTTCTATTTCTAGAGTAGTTCGATTTCATCTGAATATATATTTGTTGATATTTGAATGGTGTTGTCACAGTTAAAAGAATTGTGATGTTGTGGATTCTAAACAAATATTTCCAAAATAAATCACGGCCTCGGTACCTTGACAATATTTTGCTAATGGTATAATATACAAAAACAGATGTTTTTGGAGTACACTATCTGGGCTATTAATATCTCAACATATTGAACAAAAATATTCACAAATATTTGAGTAACGGTAAAAGCATAGGTAAAACATCCATATCGAGTTTTGGTTCCTGGAATTATAAATGGATTCCTGAAAACTAGGGAAAATTAGTATGCTGATATCCAGAATTGTCGCTGAAATTGTTCTAAATTTTAGACATGTTCAAATATACTTGAATTATTTCAATATAGATCCAGTAATAACAGTATATACAATGTGGAAACCTATGATGGAATAAAATCCCTATCACCATAATTGAAATATATACAGGAGAGGTTGATTTCTATTTTTGAAAATCCCTTTGATTACAAATTTTCAACAACCTGTCAACCTAGTCGAGAGATTTTTTAATGGACCGTTGTCGTGAAATTTAAAAATGTTAGAGGGGTTCATCTGTAGGGTTGGTGGTTGGGAAATATAACTGAATTAAATTGATTTCCAGAAATAACAATCGACGACTAAGGATTTTTTAACAATATATTTCTGTTATTGGGATACGGGTTTAATTTCATCATAGGATTCCACACTGTATACTATATGTATATGGTGAATATGATATGATATTACTATTGTTTTTTTTACCATGTTTTTTTACAAGATTTTTTTGTACACACTCTACACTCAAATCATAAAAAATTTCGAGAAGAATAATTTTTTCCGTTTTTTTGAGAATGTGAGTAGCTCCGTTTTGGAAACGTCCAAAGCTGTGAGTGAACATTTGATATTTCGAATTTTTCTAACGTCTGTCTTCAAATACTCATATTTTGATTTGTAGGAAGAAGGAGAGAAAATCCCAAAAAGTCTGGTAAAATGAATGTTCTTCTTCTCGATTAACCTTTATACAGTATTGAAGTTTATCAAAATGTTCCTTGTCAGTAAATACATTTTTCTCCATATTGAAGGTACAACCTACCTATATGCCGTTGTACCATTAGTACTAATAATAAAGAATTTATTGATACTTTATCATAATATTGAAATGAACGATATTTTCAATAAAGATAACAATTGAGAAAAAACCAAATACAAGAAGAGAATTACAATCATTGTCAAAATAGATATGAGAGGGATTTGAAAAAATTAGAAAACTTTTTCAAAATGCTGTCCATAACGTCATAATCATCTATTAGAGCAAAAGGGAGCAGTCATGGCACGCTTGGTTGAAATTTTTTTTAAATGAAATCACGGTGTCCCTGATGAAAAGTCTTCGTAGAAGATGATACCACAGATGATACCATCGACTCCTGAAACCAAAGTGAGATGATTGAACGAAACTTTTACCCTAACTTGTACCCTTGTACCTTTATCTCAGAACTTTCCTTTTAGCCGCTACAGGGCGTTGGAATTGAATTTTTATTTTTTATTCTGAATTTATGGAGTAATGTGTGCGACATATCAGATATCATTGATACATCTGATGATTTCATACAAAAATTAAGTACGAACCTACAATAATTGAATAATTTTGAAAAGTATACCAGGTGTCGACGAATCTATTAGACAAGCCATAACTTCTAGAATATTCAATGTATCGAAATGAAATTAAATATGGGTGAATGGTATGTGGAGAGGAAATTTCTCGCATATTTTTTACTTTCCGGTCCCTTCCGGTTTCGCCGGAAATGGCTCTCATTTTGGTCTTAGCAGTCTATGGTATCATTTAGTACAGACGATTCAGAGACACCCTGTACATAAAATTCCGAAATGTAATTATCACAAGTTTTTTCATTCATAAATCAAGAGTACAACTTCCGTTAAAACCGGAAGTGGTGAAAAATTATGCCAAAAAGTGATGTTTAACTATGTATATCTATGTTATTTCGAATTTCAATTATTTATATCTTCGCGAGATTGAGGAAGAAAAACTATAATCTTCGAATCGATTTCCAAGTTTAATTTTTCAGCTTCTAACTAACCAAACAGGAAACATACAGGTTGAAGACAATCCAGAAATAAAAGTACTCACATCAACATGGTGTTCTATTTTCAGAGATAATTATGAAAACATTACTCAACACGCCAGAGCCAAGTACAACACCGCGATTTTTCGCGCAATTAGCCTCATCCGACTTTTCCACCCATTTTCCTTTTCCCGCCTCACTTCCCACAAACTTTCGAACCGAAGTCGAGAGTTGGACGTCGGGAGTTGCGAATCGAAAGTTGTGAGTCGCGAGAGAGTCGACGGAAAACTGGCGGGAGCGGAAAGTCGAGAATTTTCGCGATAGGGAGGTGCGCACGATGGAAATTGCTCTATTAGCAACAATACGGCGGTTTCCGACACTGAAACTCAGCCGGAGGCATCTCCAGGGATCAGTCTGGATCAGACAACGAAACTCTACCATCCACTGAGTTAGGGCAGACTTCCCAGCAAACACTCCCTTCCTATTACAATTAAGTCTGCGGCAAGCTTCGCAGAAACTTTCTGAGATCACGAAACCGAGCTGTCTGTCATGATTCAAGGAATACCTCTAATAAAAAGTTTATAACATGGTTCTCAAACCATTGTCGATCTAAATGAAAACCTAGTAGGCGACCTAGTGCGAGGAGGACAACGCTCAAGCTATAGGTATTTACAATATATTTGACAGATATAATTCAATATTCAATAGAAATTTCAGGATTTTGAAAATTTTTCTCATTGTTCAAAGAACTCATTTCCAACTAAGGGGTTATTTGGAGTATTCGGACGATGGGAACCATGTTTCCGACTGCTTGTAAGATAGCTCCACGGCCCTATATGGATTAAATAAAAATTCAATTGAATTAAATAGTCGAATAAAAATTTAACAATCTATCGCAGAATATCCCACATTCAGATATTATAAACAATCCACTTTGTATTTCATTATATCGTCACATTAAATGGATAATTTTATTCATTCACATATCAAACAAATAACTTCCAAAAGAAAAATAAAATGAAACAACACGAAGTCGGTCGACTCGTTGTTTTCTTTCATTTTTCTTTTGAAATTACATTGGACCACTTTGAGATATGGATGATTTTAATAACTTCCGGACAGAATAGGATCTAGTATAATAGTATTGGAAAGTGCAAAATTTACTAGGGGTCATGAACGTCGCCATTGCAGGACAAGTAGAGGTCTTGATGATTTCCCTTTCCCAACCTAGGCTCCAATCTTATGAATTAAAATTTCATTCAGTTATCTCAGTTATCCGAAATCAAAAATTCTCATTGTTGAAGACTTTTTGTACATATGTGGCGAGGTATTCACGTATATTCTGAACTAGAGTGCCTCGAACATCTAATTACATGTCCTTCAAAGACTGTGGACACGCTTGTCACCACTGACATTTTGGAAAGTCACTCCTCAAAATTGCCCTATTCGCAAAAATACAGCGGTTTCCGACACTGAAACTCAGCCGGAGGCATCTCCAAGGATCAATCTGGATCAGATAACGAAACTCCATGCACCATCCACAGAGTTAGTGCATACTTTCAACAAACACTCCCTCCCTATTACAATTAAGTCTGAGGTAAGCTTCGCAGAAACTTTCTGAGATCAGGAAAGCGGGCTGTCGGTACCGAAAAGTCCATAAATAACCTGAGAGATCATCATGATTCAAGGACTACCTCTAATAAAAAGTAACAGAAAATATTTAATTTTCGGCAGCGTGCCGCGGCTTTTCTGTCGGGACCAGGAAATCCGTTTTCACACTCACATAATCTATGTAAACACTCAGTTTCAAATAAACTATCTTCCTTTTTTATGTTCTGATGAGATATCTGTTTCGACGACTTGTTTTTACAGCAATTTATAATCAGTTGATTTGAATCGTGATTCAAATCATGATTTAAATGTTTGATTGAAATCGTCGCAAATCTGAGAAATTTCATAAATGAGACACTTCAAATTGCATATTGTCAAGATGATATGATTTGATAACGAAATGAGAATTATGTCATCCGATATCAATTAAATGGCGTGAAACGAAAACGGACTATTCTATCTCTCACGGCGGAATAATGTTGGATTAAAGTTTTTCTTTTGTTTATTTGTTTAGAATATACGTGTTACTTTTTATTTTATTTTTATTACTTTCGAATATAAAATACTATGTTTTTTTTCTTGTTTAGATGAATGATGTAAGTATCTATTAGGTACTTACTTTTCAATAAATAATGTTATTTTTGTTGTAATTTTCTCTTTCTACTTCTACATTATACCTAAAAAGTAGATAAAGGTGAATATCCCGTACTGCACTCTGGAACAAGATTATGTATGACGAAATCGCGATACATTTGCGAGACTCTCGTACGAGACGCGAGACAAGACGAGACTCGAGGCTGCGAGACGAGACTTGGGACTATACTTATTATTTCATCGGCGAGACGAGACGAGACTTTCTGAAAGTCTGGTTACCTACTAATTATTGAAACAGGAATCTATATTTATGCTACAACTTACAACTTTTTTCGAAGCTAAACTTAACTCTAGGCTCGAACTTGACGGGTATATTTCAACATGGAATGGATCTCCCTACTCATTTTAAACCCTTTTGCATATTGGTTTTCTGTTCGTTCATTTTAGTTCTCTTCGTACGCTCGTCATGAAAGACTCATAGATCAAGCTGGTCGGAGAGATCACGATTTTTTTCAATGATATATGACCGACGTGCATTATTGCAAAGGTCATATTATGAAGAGATCATATATCATGAAGAAATATTCCATTGAAGTTATTTTTGTATCTAGTGCGTGAAATGCTATACTTTGGTGATCGAGAACTGAGTATTTTAACAAGGCGCAGCCGAAACTATTTCGCGCACAACAACATTTCTTCTTCAAACGTCAAAATATATTGTAAAATAAGTAATATGCTTAGCTCAATATGAAAATGAAGTGGGAAATGGACAGTAAACTTAAGAAAAACGCTCGTATGGATAGCCAAACTGAAAAGAAATGATAAAAGGGTAAATACACAATGAAGAAAATATTAGCTCCTCCGTAATCAGTATATTCTATGTTGTCAATTTATTCATCAATACAATTTCATTATTTTATTTCCTACTTCTTCTTAGTTTAGCTATCTATAACAGTTTGTTTCTTTAGTTTTTTAAAATACCTACGATTCATTTTCTACTTCTTCTTAGTTTGGCTATCAATAGAAGCGTGTTTCTTTAGTTTTCAAAACTACTGCCTATTTTTGATTTTTCAGTTCGGCTGACTACGAAAATATAATAATCCCGACAAAACTCGTCTGCCATATTGTATCCGTCATCTTGAATTTCCAAATTTTGACCAAAGAATAATAATCTCCGACCCCGAAAAACTTCCAGACACCAATTTTGAACGGAATTGGATCATAATTACAACATTCGTCCGCCATATTCGATCCGCCATCTTGAATTTCCTAATTTTCATAAAGTAGGAAAATAAAAGGAGGGGCCACTTTGCATGTTGTTATCAATGCGCGAACCTTATAGAAAATTAATGCAAAACCGTTACGCCCCTTATGGTATCAGGACTGAGTATTTTTCTCAGTGAAATCAGAAAATCACTATTTCGATTTCATTGATTATTTTTGTTTCTCATTTTTTTTGTGCAAAACATTTCAAAATTCATTTTTGCGGAAGTAAAAATCAATGAGTCAGAGGAATTGTCTGCGCTCCAAGAGATAAAAAATTTCTCTTTCGCATTTAATGGTACACACTGTATAAACAAGGCGTGTTTTGGGTATTTCCGATAATTATTCTGATCGAACAGTTCTACTCCGGACATAGATTTTTCATGCATTTCCATTGCATTATTGTCTGTTATATCTTTGGTTGGACAAATTTGAAAACTATTTATCTTGAAAAATTGACGTAACAATTTTTTCCCGTTTTGTTATACACATAAGAGTGTATTCCAATTTCTAGACAATATTTAATAGGAAATTCCTTTTGTTTAATTCAATGAACACATGATTTGGCAAGGGATTTAAATGACGTACAGTGAAATTAGCCCAAGTATATGAGTCTAAATATAACTATAGATATTTGAAATCAGTTCACGATAAAATAGATTTGTGATAGTCAGTTGTTATCACTTTATACGAAATCAGTTTCCTATCTTGGTGAAATGCTTGTGGAAGATCAACTAAGGCGGAAGCTGCTGGAAGTTAAAAATGAAACTGAATACAGGTATCCGTCAAGTCATAAGAATTCAACTAGCCGAAATTAAAAACAAAAAAGTTCATCAGGAAGAAAAACTCATAGCAATCTCTTCAAGTTAGATTATTTGATCATAGAGAAACTAGTATTGTGTGTTCATATACATAGGTATACAGGGTAAATCTAAACACTAACTTTGAGTTCCAACACTCTATATAAAACAATATCCTACTATTCTATCCTATCTTTTGAACTCTTTTTGAGGTTGATGTTGCTGAATGAAGAAGATGCTCTGTATCCCCCTTGGTTCTTCACTTGGATCGATAAAAAACTGTCTGCTTTCGCTTGGCCACAGACCAGAGGCAATTTGGAGTATCTCTGGCAAATTGGTGAGTACACATCATCATCTCTAACAGCAAGTGGCACTAGCTCAGTTTCTTGATAAGTGCGATAGTACACATCATCATCTCTAACAGCAAGTGACACTAGCTCAGTTTCTTGATAAGTGCGATTCCAGCACAGTAACAGTGGTACGTGCTCAGTTCGAAGACATGTCGGAACAATGCGACTAGTGGAAATCGCTATAATTAATCCTCCAATCAGAATTATTATCATTATATATGACATGTAATGTGACGCATGTAATATTCCATGGTGAATATACCTAATTATTTTTTGAATTGAATCGGCCGTTACTTCACAAACAATAAGATTTCCACAAAATTCTCAAACACACGACATCATGTTTCACAGAAGCTTCGTCGGGTGATATACTGGTACGATCATACATAATAATTATGTTTTGTGTTCTAGGTACGAGACATATAGTAACGTTATGTCCAGAGAAAATTCCAGATTTGGACAAGTCCCAATTCACTTGGACGTACATACCTATCGAAGAATGCCATGCTCCCACAATCGATCAGATCTTTGAATTCATCAGAACCATACAGTGGTGTAGAAAATACGATAAGGTGAGATTGTATGCTCATTCCATGTAGGTTTTCCAGGTGTTTTTCGGAAACACTTTCTCCTGTTTACCTGTATAATAATAATATCTACTAATTCGACAAATTCATCAATAGGTCAGGAAGAATAACATTCAAATGCACACACAATGCTGTTTGTACCCCCAATCAGCTGATACAAACGACGATTGTGTGAGAATGCGCCATATATTATCAAGAGTGGTCTTAAGGGGGGAAAGGGGAAATAAGCTCCCCAGAACATATAATAATTGGTAAGATAGGGACATGAGAGCCGTTTTGACCGGGCTTTCATGTCCCTATCCTAACCTACCATTGAGTATAGTGAGTGTATATAATCAAGGTACCTACGGAGGTACCTACTGACATTTAATTTGAACAGGCAGAGAGGTTGATCAGAATTCTGAATCTTTAACTACCCTGTATTTGTTCCAACTAAATGTAAGTAGATAGTAAATAGGAAGTTGCGACAGGGACATGAGAGCCGTTTTGACCGACAAAAAAAATCCTAAACTCGAAAAATCTCGATTCTGAACACCCTATACAGAGTGTTAACAAATAAGTGTCACAACGGAAAACTGTAGATTCCTCACAATGAAAGGAACATTTCTTTTCCTTTCAAAATTTTTCTCCGAGCTTCCGAGTTCAAGATACAGGGCGTCAAAAAATCAAAAATGTTCAGTTTAATTAAACACACTTTACAACACTTAATAAACTTAACTTGAAAATCAGCATCAAGACCAGCATTTGATTGAACATATTATAAGACAGTTCTGAGGTGTTTATTTCCAGTGGATTTTTGGACGATTTTTGGAGATATACAATCAGGATTTTGTATGTTGTTCTTCTTAGAGCATTGAGACAAGAGGACGTTTTTTGTGTGATATTGGCACTTCAGAATCTACTTTGAAAATTACAATTTCTCCAGTGGCATAAATGTTTGGGGGGTTAAACCCTTACGAGGCATGAATTTTCCTCCAATGACATCTCCAAGGAAATTGATCAAGAGCCCTAAAAGTAGTCATTATTGATGATAAAGTGTGTACGAAGGCTTAACTCCGTAGCTCAGACGGTTCCTGAGATAGTGGATAAAAACAGATTTTCTTGACGCTCTGTATCTTGATAACGGAAGCCCGGAAAACAATTTCGAAAGGGAAAAAAATGTTTCTTTTTTCATGAGCCATCTACAGTTTTCCGTTGTGACACTTATTTGTTAACACCCTGTATATCTCTGGAATCATTCCCGCTAGACCCCAAGTGTGATGCATTGATGAAATCACCTCTTCAGAGAGGATCTGAAAATGCAATTAAATACAGGGTGTTCCATTTAAAAATCCAACATTGTAGCCTGTTCCGCTTCAAGGTTTGAACTTTTGGATATGATAGTTACAGAAAAATGTGAAATCCTGTCTGAGCGATTTTCAATTTTTTTTAACAACTACGGAGATACGGGGGTGACAAGTTTTAGCTGGGACACACTGTTTAGCGTTCTAGATAGGTATATAGTAGTTATAATAGTGAATATATTCAATTGAAGCGTACAGGGGAAGAACGACAATAGTCCATTCGGACGGATTTCAATAAAATGGAGAAAATAAGTTAGTTACTTGTTAAGAACTAAAATTGAATGAAAATAAGTCACAAACATGTAAATAACATGTTTTTTATTCAGAAATATAAAAAAATCAACATTTATTCGGAACTAATGATGTAACAAAAATAATAAAATCCAGGCATGGTCACATCCACTTTTCCCCTGTATCAGGCGTCTATCACTTTGTCCATAGAAGCAGGATTGGACCAGGGGTTGCGTACTTATACCACTCTTCCCAGGTATAGGCGATTTTGTGTCTGTTGTTTTACCATAAAACGATTTCATTATCTGATAGGTACTACAATATTTCATGAAAATAAACTGTAAGCTTAATTTTGCATGAAAATGGACTGGAACAGTTGAATATTCATATATTTTCTCAAAAACGGCGAGTGATCAAGATTTGCGATATCCACAAATTGAAGGGCAATCAAAGTATACATTTGAAACAAATTCTCTAATCGATCAAAAATTCTGAAGTCATCTCCCATAACAAATTGAGAGGATGGAACTTCTATGCTGTCAGGTTATTCCTCATAACTATTGAACGGCCTAAAGAATAGAGAAGTATACTGAGAAAAAAAAAAGTTTCACCTATCAAATGACGTAAGAATGAGATATCTATATAAAAAAGCGTTTCAGGGGCGAACGAATATATATGCGTTTGATTGAATGATACGGGAAAAATTATGTAAAACACTTGTTGATATGCTTGCATCATGAAAAATGAACATTTTCATATAGGTATGACTTGAGAGGCATAATCTGATTTATCCAACAAACAGCACTAAAATGAACTTGTCAACTTTGAAATTATAACAGAACAGGGCGGAATGGCCCAGATGGTTGAGCGCTCGACTATCTCAGAATACCAAAAAGTTGCCAATTTCGATCCATGGCTGAGCAGATGCTTTATATTCTAATCGAGTGAGTACCGAATTCTAATTCTCGTATTCTCGGCCGAAGATGATTCTGCACGATTCGCTGCTCTTGAAGTGGCGTATGGAGTAATAAGTAACAATGCCTACACAAAACACACATGGGCTGAAGGACCTCTCGTATAAGATCGGTGGTCAGTTAGTATGTTCATACATTCCTACGAAGTACATATACATACATAACGAAACAAGTATGGAATCAACTTCGACAACGCTAATTGCAACATTTCTACAGGTGATTGATTTTGTACATTTTCATTTCCTCAGAAAATTATGGCATTCATGTCCACAAACTGTTTTCAAATTTTTATTTCAAGTAGTTGTCCAGAGTAGTATCTATTTTTCCTCTCTCCATATCCATCTCCATTGAGAAAGAGCACTATAATTTCAAATTAGTAGCACCGGGTAACAGCTAAGGCATGGATGCAAACTGAGGTGCAAACACCCTATATTTCAATTGATTGCTAGATATATTGTATTGTGTTCAGTATTACCTCAATAATATTACATACATTACTTGATTCTTGAGTAATAGCATGTCATTGAGGTATGTAATAATCAAATCGAACATTTATTTTTGATGATCTGAGTCTCTCCCTTGGAACCGTCAATTGCTTGTTTTTTCAGCCTGTAGGGGTCCACGACAGATTGGGCCTTGGCAGAAGCGGTGTCATGGTAGCCATTTACCTCATGTACTTCCACAGGCTGGAAGCAGACCAAGCCTTGAAGAACCTGAGGTATCTCAGACCTGGTTCAGTGGATTCCCTGGTGCAGGAAGAGTGTGTTTTGAACTACAGGCCTTCGGCGAGAATTGCCAATGATCAGAGGCTGAAGAAGATCACTAGGACGGGGGACCACTTTTTGAGTTTGTTGAAGAACGACGGGAGAGGGGGAGTATGGGGATTGCCTAAGATGGAGTATTTGATATCTAAATGACAGGGGAAATATCTGTGATTATTAATCGTTGAATTATAGGAATCCTGAACGAGTAGATTTTCAGAATGTGGCACCCTGAAGATAGGTGTGAAATATACAGGGTGTTCCTTAATGACATGTTTATATTCAAGGGGTCGATTCTTGAACCATATGAACGTATGTCGTATAATTCTCAACTTTTGAGATACAGGGTATCAAAGTTGAACACTTACATAGATTTTTTTTGTCCACCCAGTATAGCTTTTCCTGATAAGGAAATTCATTCTGTTATGTGATTGAAACGGTGCAAAAATTCCAAAATGTTATATCCTGTGGTTATCCAGTAATGGATGTCCTGAATGGATTACTCAAGTTTAGCATTTCCATCAAAATTTTAAGTTTGATCTCATTTTTTCTCTAAAACGGAATGTTCTATCGGATATCAACAAGTGGATCTTTTTTGTTCGAAATTTAATGATTTTTTATGGCATTTTATTAAATTTGGAAATATTCCTTCGTTTCTCACTTTCAAGTATAATATAATCAATCATATTCCCCTAACGGCGCCACTGGTAGAAAAAAAACGAATTTGTATACATCAAAAAATACACCTTGATGCATAGAAGATATGTTCTAAATTTCATAAAGTTGTCTACAATATTATCCCAGTTATTATTGTAGAACTTATTTTTTCACCCTGTATCCCAATAGTTGAGTCTTTCAGGACATACGTTAGTGAAAGTATTTTGTTGAAATGAGTTGAAGAATCACCCCCTTGGATATGAGCATGTTTTTAAGGAACAACCTGTATAATCTGAACCCTGAAAAAATACTGGAAGTAAACTATCTAACGCCAACGGTATCATGAAGTGGGATACTTGCTGTTTTTTGATTTTTCGATCTATTTTCAACATGGAATTTTAGAATAAGGACTAAACTGAAATATATGTATTGAATCTTACCTAGTTAATTTGGATCATTTCAAACTACATAGTCTTCATTTATTTTTCTAAATTTATATTCGTCATTCATTTTTATTCAATGCATAATACTTGATGGCTCAACTGTTGAATTCAAAGAAGAAGATATACATTTAAGTTGAACAATGTTACTTCCTAATCTTGAGTCACAATAGGGGTCGCGGTAGAGGGCCTAATAGACCCATTTACTTTGCACCCTTTGCACCCTATACCTATACCCTAATATTTTCAAAAATATTTTTCTGATTAAACAGGGTGTCCCTAGAAGATCTTCACAGAAACTCACCACATATTCATCAGACCAAAACAATTCGATATCAGCAAACTTGACCTCAGTACAAAGCTGCTAAGTTTGCGTTTTATTGATAACTTTGAAACGTGAATGGACATCTGAAACTTCTACGCCAATGGAAAGAAAGGGGTTTGAGTATGCAATTTGGATAGCGTAACTACAAGAGATACTCTTGTTCAATACTGTTCTATTAGCACCACATGTTTTGAAAACATACTAAATTAAATGTATAGTACAATCGATGCACTGATAGTCATCTGCCAATTTTTTCATATGAAATGTATTATATTAAATTATCCCAAGAAGCAAATTGTAGACGTAAATATACATGTCCAAATGTAAACAAACCCGCACTGTCATCACACTTCACGGCTTTCGCTGTGGTCGAAATCACAAGGAAATCACCAAAGATTTCATGAATATACTCACGCTTAATAATATGGAAGCTAAACTAAAATGATGGCCCACGCGCATGACTGTTTTTTATTATTACCAAATGAATTATTATAAATACCAAACGAAGAATAAAATGCAATACGCTTGTTATCTTTCATATTACGTGGATTCATTATAAACAATAAATATATCATAATAAAGAAACACATACATTTATTAACAGGCTCTGCATCATTGTTTTTTATTACCAAATCAAATTATGATTATAAAATCTTATTGATTAACACTGCGTAAATCGACGTAATAGATGAATTCTCAATTATTAAATAATTTTGTTCACAATGAACAAATATAGCAGCAAAGAATCAGGTACGAATTGATGAATGAGACTTTTTTATTATGAATAATATGGCTAATTAATTATGAACAAATTTTTACAAACATTTGATTATTATACTGAGATTTTTCTTTCGGTGCATCAACATCAACGATGATTCATTTTTATTGTATGAATTTTTCGCTTATTTAAACACTTGTTTCGACCAATCAGGATATCGAGTCGGGAATAATTGATTTCCCATTCATGCATATTTCCGCTACAATTCAATTATCTCCGACCTGTGTAATCAACGTCATATCTGATCGAAATCCAATCATATACTCCAACACTTATCGTCATTCGTTCTCACTAAGTACCCCTAACTTTAATGTGGAAAAATTTGGTCACAAAAATTATCAGCGAGAATAGAAACAAAAATGTAAAAAAATGATATCTACATAATACTTATACAAAATGATTCACAAAATGAACGTGTCGTAATTGAATAATGATAATGCATGTTGTCTGAAAAATTGTGTATGTAACTCATCCGTAAATGACTTTTACGGTACTTTTTCCCATACAAGATATTCATTTTCATTCATAACGAAAGCTGCTTACTATTACTTGGTTGTTATCCAAACTCCTCAAGGAATGATATCATTTATTTCACTGTCTCCACCCCAATTTTCTATTCAAACCATGGATTCAAACTGAGCATCCTCCAGAAGCAAATTATTTGAATATCAGTACAATACACGCATTAGGACCTTCTTGTTGGAGCAGTCTGCTGTATAATCGTACTAAAAGGTTTCTTAGTACAATTCATAATTCAATCTGCGAACAATATGCCTGATTGTGAAGTGTGAATTCCGTTTGAAAATTATTGAGATGATGTATATTATATTGTTATTGATAACTAATAAATACTTTCTAATGTGCCAGATGAGGATGTACAGAAAACAGAAAGTTTTTGTGAAAAATACAGTTCACAAACCACCAAAGACAGATAGGTTCTGTACGAGTAGCTGAATTCGAAAAAATATGTGCATGCCTATCTTAAATTCCTCAATATCATGAGTTATTTTCGAAGGTTTTCATCTTGACTCAAACAAGCTATTGACAACCTGCAGACATTGATCAGAATATCAAAACATTTTGAATAATATCGGTTACTAATGATATTTGAATTTCAAAGCCTACCAAGTGTCGATATATCATCGAATTCATGTCACAGCCAACTTATTCTTTTTGAATAAAAAGCAATTCAACAGCGAATTGATAAATGAATGCCACTTTGTGATACATGGTTGGATAGAGAATTTCAAGGCGAAAAAGATAGACTGAAGAAATGTACAGGGTGACATTTAAAAAAAAAGTTGGGGTCACTTCCGGTCAAACAGGTGGTTGAAAAAAATTGTCGTTGAGTTCGTAAAATGCGCTACCATTTATTATATACCCCCTGTGAATTTCAAAATTTTATTAATTTAAATAAAAAAACTACAGGCTGGTACATGTCTCCTGTGGTCACCCGGTATGCGATGCAAAGTTATTATCTTCGAATGAATAAATTTGTTGTCCAACTTTTGTTTTTGCTTAAAATTTATCGTTTATTGAAAAGTTCAATGTGAGGAGAATTTTGAATATTCAATTTTTGATACTTGTTTGTGTTTCATTTTCATTCGTAAAATTTATGGATTCGACTTATTAATTTCCAAATGAATACATTTTTTGTCAAATTTTCGTTCTTTCATAAAATTCATATTCTGAGTACGTCAGTCGATTAGAGAGTACTTAGTAGTTGAATATTCCATGAAAAAATCAGACGAATCGAAGAAGCTGTTCGGAATGTAGTTATGACCAAAAGATTTGTTTGCTGAATCTCATAATTCACCCTATACAGGGTGACATAGAAAAAAATACATTGCATTGTGCCACATAATAGAGGACCGAAGGCCTTGCGGATCCATGTTCATAGAAACTTTTTTTCTTATTTTAGTATCCTCTATTGTGTGGCACTATGCAATGTACTTTTTTCTATATCACCCTGTATATTGGAAGAGAAGTGAAGAAGAAAGTTTCTGATGGACATTAGATATTTCCCTCAGGGGCCTCTATTCGTGGTAGGAGAATGTACAGTGTGTCCAGTTTTCGATGCTTTTGCCTGATATTTCAGTTATCTTTGGAGATAGAACCTTGCGGTTTTCACGGTCCTGTGCCACTTTTTTGTGAAACTCAAGATGGCCTACTCAGATTTTGCAAGACTGTTTCCGTTTATGAGATACAGGGCGATTTTGAAAATTTATACTTTTTGGACCCCCTCTATATCCACGAAGCTTCTCAACAAAAATGTCAAATCAAAATCTTATCGCATAGAGAATTTCACGCATAATTCAGTAGCGCACTTAAATTCTTTTTTCGGGGTATGGTTTTGGAGATACGACTCAAACTTATGATTTTTTAAATGGAACACCCTGTATTTCATAAGCTCATTAAATTCCTTATATTTTTGTCTTCAAAAAGATATATAACGAATGAATATAAAATCCTCAGAATTGCTCAAAATCACTAAAATATTGAATTTTGATAGTTGGTTATGGATTTTTCTTATGAAAAACTATACAATTGAAGAAATATTTCTTTAAATTTTTCCATAGAGAGGTCAAAACCAATATCAACACTTATTAATTAACAAAACACTAAACTTGGGTACCTGATAGCAACAAATAAATAGTAATAAAAAGTTCATAATGTAGAATAAGCACCTGATTAAATATTTATTGAAATAATTGAATTCCGGAATTATTCAGTAACTTATTCATTGACATGTTTAAATTGATATCCATTTTCCCCAACATAATATATATATACAGTTGACAAACTTTCTCAATACTTCTTAATACAGTGAGTGGCCCAACATACTTGAAGAACTTTGTGCAACAACAGAGGCAGTTTTCCAGGAATTACAAAGACATCTTTCCATGATTAATATGTATTGAGAAAGTTTGTGATGAAAAATGGACATCAATTTGATCAATTCAATGAATAAATCACTGAATAATTTCGAAATTCGATTGTTTTAGTAAATATTCAATCAGGTGCTTATTCTACATTATAAACTTTTCATTACTATATATTTGTGGATATCAGGTATCTGAGTCTTGTGTATTGCAAGTTA